CCTCCTCCTCCTCCTCCTCCTCCTCCTCCTCCTCCTCCTCTTCCCCCCCCTCCTCCTCCTCCTCCTCCTCCTCCTCCTCCTCCTCCTCCTCCTCCTCCTCCTCCTCCTCCTCCTCCTCCTCCTCCTCCTCCGCCTCCTCCTCCTACTCCGCCTCCTCCTCCTCCTCCTCGGACGGCTCGGAGTGCCCCAGACCTCTCGGGATACCGCCCGCAGCGCGGGGCCGCCCGCCGGGGCCCGCTGAACCCCGAGCTCCTGGCGCTGCAGCTTGTTCACCGCGGGCGTTTTTGTTCGCCCCGCTTCGGGCCCCGAGACCCTCACGGATCGCTCTGGCTCGAAAAATGCAGGAGAGCCCAGACTCGAATCGACAAGTCGGATCGGCGATCGAAACGGATCGGATCGGCGGAAATCGGCAGCAGAGCCGGGAGAAGTCGAATTTGCGGAAATCGGCAGGCTTGTACGCCTCCAGTAAGGAATCGGAGTCCAAATCGGAATCCGAAATCGAATCGAATCGGAATCGGAAGCCATCGAAGTCGAATCGAATCGAATCGGAGGAATCAAAACGAGCCCTGAAGTTGTGATGTTCTGCAGTGCTGCAGTTGTTTCGCAGCGTCGGCTCTCAGGAAGGTGGCCCTGGCCCATGGTGCCCCCAACTAATCGCTCCATCTTGGAGCCCCAGGGTCCCTCTGGGCCTCGTGAGGGGTGCTCTGCCCTGTCCTTCCACGAGGGCCAAAACATAGCACCAGAACCTTGGCGTCTAAATCCCTGTCGACGTTTTGAGGCAGTCCAGATACGTCTGTGGGTCTGGAGGGCTACTTCGCTAGCACTCTGGAAGGTCAGGGTGGAGGCCGTGGGGGCCTCACAGGCCTTGTGCACCCCTGGCAAGCGGGGGTCGGCGGATACACCGCGTCTTCGATGCTGTCGAGGTGTCTTTCGACGTGCTCGAGAGCCAACCCCTCCCTGTCCCCCTCGCTGAGGTGGTCCTCTTTGACGAGGGGGGCCTCCCTGGAAATCCTGGGGGGGCACCCCTGGGCCAGGGGCACTCCTGGCAGCAGCCGCCGGCGCGGCCCCCGAGCCCTCCGCCCTCGTCCCTCGCCTCGCCCGCCCTCGCCTCGGGCGGCTCCGCGGGCCGCCCTGCGCGGAGGGATCCCCCCCCCCGAGCTGAAGGGGCCCCAGGACACACACAGATAAATACACACAAATAACAGGATTCCCCAAATTGTCCCATATGTTCTGGGTTTCTGCCTTCCCCCCCCACTTCCCATATTTCCCCATACTTTCGGGGGAATCGACGATTAATTGTGTCTGTGTGTTTTTCCCTACCTAGGCTCTGCCTAGAAGGGTTCTTACTCTCTAGCTTAAAGGGGCCGGGCAGTGGAAAGCGCCCCGGGCGGTTCCCCCAGTCCCCTGGGAGCCAAGCAAAAGCAACAGCAAAGGTAAAAGCAAACGCGCGGTTCCCCCAGTTGCGCTCCCGAGTGCCAAGCAAAAGCAAAAGCAAAGGCAAAAGTGAAGGCAAAAGCGAAGGCAAAGCAAAAGCATAGCATAGCATAGCATAGCATAGCATAGCATAGCATAGCATAGCATAGCATAGCATAGCATAGCGCAGCATAGCATAGCGCAGCATAGCATAGCGCAGCATAGCAAAGCATAGCACAGCATAGCCTAGCCTAGCCTAGCCTGGCCCAGCATAGCATTGCGCAGCAAAGCATAGCATAGCATAGCACAGCATAGCATAGCAAAACATAGCAAAACATAGCAAAACATAGCATAGCGCAACACAGCATCCACGACTGCTGCTGCTATATATATGCACTATATAGATAGGTGTGTGTGCGCACGTATGTTCCATGCTACTACTACCGCTACTGTTACAACTACGACGATGAGGAGAAGGAGGAGGACGGCGTTTACCGCTCCTAGTAATGTTGCTTTCCTAGAGGCTCCAACTCCTAGGTAGGGCCGCACTGGGATAATCTGTTCCCTCCTGACGAGCGCGCGCCTGCTCGGCCTCCTCCTCCTCAAGACCCACCCGGATCGGCCCGCGCCGAGCCACGGCCGAGCCTGGGGCTCGTCGAGGCGAGGAGAGCGACCTGTGCACGGGCCCGAGGTGCCCCCCCCCCCCGCCCCCGGCGCCGCGGGCCCGCCGGCGCCCCCCCTGGCGGGTCCTGGCTGCCGCCACGATTCTTGGCCCCCTTCTTGCGGCCAGCGCGCGCCGGGGCCTCCCCCGCGGGGCGAGCGAAGTACGGACGAGCACGACGACGACGACGGCGACGACGAAAGCGACGACGAAAGCGACGACGACGAGGAGCCGGAGCTCATGCGAAGCCGAAGCTTTCCCGCTGTCCTCGGGCGCGCGAAGAGACCATTTCTTGAGTTGGCGATAACCCGGGTTATCCAGGGGGGGGAGGGGGCCAGCCGATAACCTAACCTTCGCGCTGTGGGCAGCCCTGCATCTGCCCGCGCGCACCTTTGCCGCGGCCCCTACAGCTGCTAACGATGCTGCCGCGATGCTACTGTTGCTGCTGCGACGATGCGGGCGCCGCAGCTCGCATTGGAATACGCGGGATGTGATTGCTAAGCGTAGCCACGAAGTCTTGTGTACACTATCCATATAACACGAGTGCACCACACTGCCTGTGAGCACTGCAAAAACTGCGTGCGCCACAACGGTCTTGCACACCACAGGTGCTGCTGCAGCAGAGGCTTCTGCGTGCACCACAGCGCCTGTGTAAACCCCGATGCCACCACAAGAACAACGGGCACCACAGCGTATGGCGAACATTTGCGCCACAGCGCTTCCGCGCACCTCCAATGCCCCGCCGAGGCCCGAAATGTGGAAACCCCCCAGGGGCCCGAACATATCAAGTTCAATATGTAAGATATTTGTGATTTTTGATTTTTCTGGTCCAGGGTACGGTCCCCCACGTTATTGACCGACCATGTTTGTGTACACCAAAGCGCCTGCCTAGCGTGCGCCACAACGCCTTTGAACATCACAGCTGCTCGTGTACACCGCAGTACCTGTCTAGACAACAGTGCCTGTGTACACCACAATGCCTGTGTACACGACAACACCCGTGTGCACCACAGCGCCTGTGTACACTGCGGTGCTTGTGCACACCACAGGAGCCGCGTGCACCACAGCGCATGGCAAACATTTGCGCCACAGCGCTTCGGTGCACCTCCAAGGTCTCGCCGGGGCCCAAATCTGGAAAATCCCCGGGGGCCCGAACATATCAAGTTCAATATGTAAGATATTTGTGATCATCGATTTTCTTGCCCCGGGTGCGGTCACCACCCCGTTGTTGGCCGTCCATGTCTGTGTACACCACAGCGCCTGTCTAGCGTGCGCCACGACGCCTTTGCACGCCACAGCTACTTGTGTACACTGCAGCGCCTGTCTACACAACAATGCCTGTGTACACCACAATGCCTGCGTACACCATAACACCCGTGTGCACCGCAGCGCCTGTGTACACCACAAACACTGCATGTGAACACGACAACGCCTATATGCACCACGGTTGCCGCTTCAGCACCATACTCGTGCACCACAGCTCCAGCGCACCAAAGTGCTTGTGTACACCACGGAACTGCGTACACTTCCAAGGCCCCCGGCAGGACCGAAATACAGAAAATCGGGAGAATCCGAACGTATCAAATCCAATGATTAAGCTATTTGTGATTATTTATTTTCTGGCGCAGGGAACTGTCCCGTCTTTTGGGCCCACAACGCCTGTGTACACCATAGCGAATGTGTGCGCAGCAGCGGATGTGTACACCGCAGCGCCTGTGTACACCACAAAGTGTGGCACACCTCAATGACAGTGCACCACAGTGCTTCTGTACACAATCATGCCTGGGATGCCTGCGTGCATGGCAACTGACGTTGCAGCCACAGTTGTGCATACCACAAAGCCTGTCTTCACCATATTGCCCGGGTGCATCCCGATGCCCGCGTGCACCTCGCGACCTGCGTGCACTTCTGCGTGCGTGCACTACAACGCCTGCGTACACAACAGATCTTGCTGCAACAGCAAAGGCACGCACCAAATCGCCTCGCTGCCTGTGCACAACGCAATGCCTGTGTACGCGCTGCTCACGTGCACGTCCAGATGCCTATGGACGACGTCGGTCGTCGTCAACCGTCGGTGTCGTCGTCGTCGTCGTCGTTGTTCGTTCGTCGTCGTATATCGTCATCTATTGTCGTCTGCGTCGTTTGTCGTCTGTCGCCTGTCGTCTGTCGTCTGTCGTATGTCGTCTGTCGTCGTCGTCGTCGTCGTCGTCGTCGTGTCCCCGTGCCACTCCAAGCCCCAACGTTTCGCCAACGTGCATCCAAACACCAGCATGCTGCGGCGAACCCCACCGCGCCGTTGAGCACGGCGCTCCCTGCAGGCTCCCTGCTCCCCCCCCCTTGGACCTGCACAACCGGCTAGGTTAGGTTATCCTGGGGGAGGGGGTTGAGAGGGGGCGAGCCCGATAAGCCGGGTTATCGCCAGACCCTACAGGGCAGTTTTTAATACATAGGATTTCTTAATATGATTTTTATACATGATTAATTCATGAATTCGCCGGCCCAACGGGCCAGGGCGTGCTAAGATCTCCGGTAACTGATTAACAGTATTAACAGTATTTCTAGTTCGCGCGCGCGGGGCGGCCCCTGGGGGTCCCCGGGCGAAAAGTACCCCGACCAACGCCCGACCGCCGCCCGACCGCCGCCCGACCAAGTCTACTCAGAGATGGTTTTCCTTCTGGGTGCGGCCTCTCAGGCTCCCCAGAGCGCGCTCAGAGTGCCCCAAGAGGCCCCCAAGACTGCCCAAGAGGCCCCCGAGACGCCCAAAGAGCGCTCGAAGACGCCGAAGATGACCCCAAGACGGCCCAAAAGGCCCCCAAGACAGCCCAAGAGGCCTCCAAGACGCCCCAAGAGCCTTCCAAGAGGCCTCCGAAGAGAGCCCCAAGAGGCCAAAATCGTTGATGTTCATTGGTTTTTTCGATGTTTTTTGTGTTCTGGCTTTTTCGGCTTCCGGACGCTCCAAGACGGCCCAAGAGGCCCCCAAGACCGCTCCAAGACGGCCCACGAAGCTCCCAAGACGGCGCCGAAACGACCCAAGAGAGCCCTCAAGACGGCCCAAGTGCCGCCCAAGACGGACCAAGAGGCCCCAAGACGGGCCCAAGAGGGACTCAGGAGGGATACCGAGAACTCAAAAATGGAGCCCTCCGTCCCAGAAGGCGCCCAGGAGGTCCCAAAGAGGCCCCAAGAGGCCTCCAAGAGGCCCCAAGATGTCGCCAAGAGGCCCCAGGAGACTCCCAGGAGGCCCAAAAGAAGCCCCAGAAGGCTTCAAACATGTCTCCCAGGCGCCCCCGAACGGCCTCTCAACAGACCCCAAGAGGCCCCCCAAAGAAGCATCTTGACGACGACTCTATTTCGCCCCATCGAGAGACGACCCCCAGGGAACTGCTTCACCATCAAAACTCCCCACACAACGCGTCCGAACGACACCCGCCCCCAAGAGCGCAACATGGGCAACGAACACACAGACAAAAACCAGCGATGCCATATCACGGGCCGGCGGAATGAGCGAAGCGATTCAATAAATCTATGCATGAACTCGTCGTTTTTTTTAATACTAAATCCCTGCATTTTTGATACATGATCCGCTCGCGGAGCATGTATTAAAAACGGCACCGTAGAAAAAACAGTCTCCGGCGGTCCACGCAGCCGCCGAGCCTGGCCGGGCCCAGGCTCCGTGTGCTCGCCCCGCCTCTGGCCTCTGGCCAGGGAGGCTGCGCGCACCCGTCCAGGGCCGAGGGCGCGCCTGGTCGGGAGCGGCGTGGAGAGTCGGCGTCGCCCGAAGGCACGAGCTCATGTTTTACGGGGGGCAGTTTGTAATACATCGAATGTTTAAACATGTAGGATTCTTGATACATGATTCATGCATGAACAGATTTATGCATGAACTCAGCGTTGTTTTTTACACTGAATCCATGCATGTTTTATGCATGATCCGCACGCGGAGCATGCATCAAAAACGGCACTGTACGGGGGCCCACAGGGACACACAAATAGATGGACACGAATCCCAGGATTCCCTACAATTTCCCCTCTTTTCTGGGGTTCCGTCTCTCTCCCCACACTTCCCACTGTTGCCCATGCTCTCCTCCTGGGGATCGACGGTTCAGTGGGTCTCGGTGTTCTTCCCCTCCTGATGTTCCCAGACGAGCTGCGGTATCTGGGAGGGTGGGTTCACGCCATGTCTCCGCGGCGGCCGACCGTCTCGGTCAGCGCCCCACAAACGGGGACTCCACTAACGGGTACTTTGGCCAGTGACCCAGCGAACCGAACCCTTCCCGATGCGGACAACGCTGCATTGCCAGAAAGAGGCCCTAAAATGGCAACTTTCAGCAAAATTGCAAAGTACCCGTTAGTAAGTACCCGTTACGGTGCCGTTGACTCGGGACGCTGGTCGCAACGCTAGGCTCTCCCACGAGGACTGCGCAACATGAAGAGCAAAATGCTCAGACGCGCTGTGCGGCGGGGGCGGAGCGACCGGGGCAGGCGCCGTGACTGCCAGGGCTCGAATCGAGCCGAGTCCGGTCGTGCCATCGGGGCGTCCCCGAGGCGCTGCCGGAGAGGAACCTCGGTTTTTATTTTGGCAGAGAACAGCCCACCAGGATACCCGTGTTCCTTTTCCTCGCCGTGCTCATCATCATCATCCTCATTTTCTCCTGCGTGCTCCTTGCCTTCAGGCTGTGACTCACCGTCATCGTGATCATCACCACCGCTGTCACATCATCACACAAGCATCACCATCGTCACCATATCACCACCATCATTTTCGTCGAGATATTCATCTTCCTCCTCCACGGCCTCCTCACCCTCCTCCTTCTCCTCTTCCTCCTACTCCTCAGTCTCAGCCCCCATGCCCATGCCCTCCGCTCTCCCCAATGACAACTCTCTCGTTTCCAACCCTGCAATGCTGGCTTCTCTCGCACTGCCAGTGCTGCCCACGTCCCCAGCCTGCGAGATCAGGGAGGGCGGCAGTGGCGTTGAGGCAGCAACAGCCGAAAAAGGCAGAGCTACACCAGGAGGAGGAGGAGGAGGAGGAAAAGGAGAGAGGAGGAGGGAGGAAGAGGGAGCAGGAGGAGGGAGGAGGAGGAGGGAGGAGGAGGGAAGAGGAGGGAGCAGGAGGAAGGAGGAGGAGGAGGAGGAGGAGGAGGAGCACCCGGCGCCTTCTCCTTAGCGTCTGCCTGGTCTAGGTTGAGGATGGCATCCAGCTTGACGCAGACCTTCCCACCGCCCGGGGCACTGGAGAGACTCCCACCCCTCCACCCGTCTGCTCTCTTCAACCTCATCCTCCTCCCCACCTCCTCTCCGCGCACAACGTCGTCTCCCCCCTCCCTACGCCGCTCCTTATCCCTCCTCCTCCTCCGTCATCATCATCATCATCCATCATCATCAGCATCTCATCCTCCTCATCATCATCATCATCATCAAAATCAGCATCATCATCATCATCAGCATCATCATCATCATCATCATCATCATCATCATCATCATCATTGTCATCAGCATCATCATCATCATCATCAGAATCAGAATCATCAGCATCATCATCATCATCATCATCATCATCAATCATCATCATCATAATCATCATCATCATCATCATCAGCATCATCATCAGCATCATCATCATCAGCATCATCATCATCCTCATCGTCCTTCACCTTCTGCTCCTTCCCCTTATCCTCCCTCCTCCCCAGACCCTCCGACGACGTGATTTTTTCACGGCGTCGACCCGCAGAGGTCTGGACCCCTTCCCCGGGACCAGTTACTCATCCCGAGTTGTTTTCTGACGGCCCCGAGGCCCCAGGAAGGGCCCCCCAGAGGCCGAAAGTAGCGAAAAACCTCTTCGGCATCACTCGGACGTCCATTCCCCGTGCATGTTGTTGGTTTCGTGCGTGTTTTTTTTGCCAGACGATCTAGGACGCTCCAGCAAAAAAACGTCCGAGCGATGCCGAGCCTGCCGTCGTGATCTTTTCATAACGCGAGGGGGTCTGCGTCCCAACTCGGAAATGTTTCACTAGTTTCGGCTTCTGGGGCCCTTCCAGGGCCTCGGGACCGTCAAAAAAAAACTCGGGATGATAAACGAGTCCCGGGGAAGGGGTCCAGACCTCTGGAGGTCGACGTTGTGAAAAAATCCCGACGTCGGAGGTCTGGGGAGGACGAGGAGGGAGGGAGAAAGGACGAGGAGGGAGGGAGGACGAGGAGGGAGGGAGGACGAGGAGGGAGGACGAGGAGGGAGGACGAGGAGGGAGGACGAGGAGGGAGGGAGGACGAGGAGGGAGGACGAGGAGGGAGGGAGGACGAGGAGGGAGGGAGACAGGACCAGAGCCAATCTGCACGTGCCTGGCCGTTTCAGACTGGATCCAGCCACACGGTGCCAGACGCACCGCGGCCTTAGCGGGATGGGTGGGCTGATGGGGAGGCGTGGTTGGGATGGTGATGACTAGAATCGCCAGGTGCCACAGTTTCCCTGACCTCTGCCTCACTCAAGGCGCACGCGATGCTCCTCACAGAGAGTCGAGAGTATGACAGATTCCCAAATCAGTGCCTGCACTTGGGGCTTCTTACTTCTGTTCTGAGGAACTGGGCCGCGTCTTCGGCCTGGCGGCTATGTGGCCGCCGTCGCCGCCCCCTCGCCGCCCGTCGTCTGGGCCGTGTCTTCGGTCTGGCGGCCATGTGGCCACCGTCACCGCCCCGTCGCCACCTCGTCGCCGCCCATCGTCTGGGCCGTGTCCTCGGCCTGTCGGCTGTGTGGCCGCCCGCCATCGCCGCCCCCTCGCCGCCTCGCCGCGGCCTCGCAGAATTGCACCACATAGGGTGCACCACATGGATTGCACCACACAGATTGCACCACATAGATTGCACCACACGGATTGCGCCACGTAGATTGCGCAACATAGATTGCAACACCTTGATTGCACAACATAAATCGCACCGCATAGATTGCACCACAGACGTCGCACAGCATAGATTGCACACCACATATATTGTACCACATTGAATGCTCCACATAAGTTGCACAACATCGATGGAACACCGTAGATCGCACAGACTATAATGCACAACATGTCGTGCATCGCAGAGTTTGCATCACATGTATCGCACACTATACGTTGCGCAACATAGATGTCACTACATTGATTGGGCATCATACAGTGCACCACGTAGATTGTACCGCATGTATTGCAACACCTGGATTGCACCACATTGATTGCACAAGCTAGGTTGCAAGCAAAAACATGCAAGCAAAAACACTGCGTGGGGTCCACACTGGCTAACATATACATATAGTTGTGTGTAGACATACATACATACATGTGTGTCCCAGACAAACTGACAAACAAACAAACAAATAAACAAACACCAAGCCTCAAACTGTGTTTCCGTATACGTCTCACTACGTTGCGCTACACTGCATCACAGCGATGGCGGAGCCACTTGGGCTTACACATCATTCCGCTCAACTGTTACTAACTGGTTTAACCACACCGCTGCCCGTTGCCTACAGCCTGCCGGCCTACACATACTTAACCACACCGCTGCCCGTTGCCTACAGTCTGCCGACCTGTGCATATGGTGCCACAACCCGCCAGCCCTGCCATTCCCCCGTCACTTCCGTGCCGTGGCTGTCTGACCGCCCGCGCCCATCACTAGTGGAGTTATCGGCTCGAGGGGATCCTGGAGGATGGGGTGGCAAAACCACAGGACCGAGGCAACGAGCCGAGCCGATCTCATACGAATCAGCTGCAAGTCACCAGCCAAACATATCCATACAGTCTGCAATACCAGCCCATTCTCAAAAAAGGATTGCACAGCGCCGTCCAGACCCTGCCCGTAAGTCTCACGCCATGCACATACTGCCTCAGCCCAGCAGTAGCACCCACATCAAACGATGATATGTTTGAGCATTTGGAGGTATTGGGTATATTAAGGTTTGTGCGGTGCAACCTTCACTTTCAGCCTGCTTGCGGCCATTGAGGCTATTCAGCGGGGGGCACCCCTACTCAGAGGTCTTCCACTGTGGACTGCCGGTTGGCCACCCATTCATATCATTTCAACCCGCCCTCACCAGCTGAGGCCCACATGTCTTCCAGTGTCCTCCCCATGTGCATTGTTGTTATGCCTCGCCTTGATGTGCGCCTACTTTATGCCCTTACTTGCGGCATGCGTGCATTTCATGCACTAGATTGAACCAATACTCAAATCGATCCAGAGGCTGCGGCCAGCATCTGATCGGAGCACATGCAACGCATAAAAACAGACAGCGAAGGTGGGGAAGAGCAGGAGCGGGGAAGGAGCGGGAGCGGGAGTGGAACGGGGAGCGGGAGGGACAGCGGCAGGTCTGAGGAGGACGAGGCGGGGCGGCAGGGGCAGGAGGAGCCCTGGAGGACGACGGCGACGACGGCGACACGGAGAACGACGACGACGAGGTCGTCGACAACGGCGGCGGCGGCGGCCACCGAGAGCCGGCGGCGGCCACCGCCCCCGCGCAACCGTGGGCTGCTGCGGCAGCAACCCGGGCGCGCCGATGGGCCTGCCCAGCGCCGCCCTGCGGTCTCGGGCGATGCGGCGGCCGCGGCCACGGCGACGGCGGCGACGGCGGCGGCGGCGGCGGCCGCGGCGGCGGCAGCGGCAGCGGCGACCACGGCGGCGGCGGCGACAGTGGCGGCGACGGCGGCCACGGCGGCCGCGGCGGAGGCGGCAGCGGCGGCGGCGGCGGGACGGGGACGAGGACGCGGGAAGCAGACACAACGAGGAGGGACGATGACGAAGACGACGACGAGGCGAGGAGACGGGGAGGTATGGAGGAGACGAAGACGAAGAGAAGCTGCGGCAGCGCCAGCAGCAGCAGCAGCATCGTCAGTCGGCACAGGCAGCATCAGTAAGTAGCGACAACGGGAGCAGGAACTAGAAGGAGAAAAAACAGCACAAACATAAACTGTTGGCGCTCCGTACGGAATTCTTGGGTCTGCGCTGACCCCCCTCACCGGCGCGCGGAGCGCGCCAGGGGCGGCGTCAGCGGCGCCGCCCAGGGGGGGGGGGCCAGTGCGAGGGAGTCCGCGCGGAGCGCCGAAAGTTCGTGTTCGTGGTGCGCCGTCTTCTTCGAAGTAAGCAGCGGCAGCAGGAGCGGGAACGGGATCGGGAGCGACAGCGACCAAAACGCAGGAACGCTCGTGGAACAGGCGAAACACCCAAACGAGCCCGGGTCCCCACGGCCTTCGCGGCTCGCCCACGGATGGCTGGCCTGCAGCACCTCGCGGACGGGCCAGCCGCGGCGACGAGCATCGGCGCCGGGCGGCTGGCCAGGCCAGCGAGAGCGGCAGGACGTCGTGCCCAAAGAGGGTTCTGTGGCAGCTCATGGGAGCCTCCCACACCAGCTTGTTGGCTCTTGCGCATCGGCGCCGGATCGGCGCTAATCGATGCAAAAAGTCGACGCTGGTCGACCCCAGATCGGCGCCACTCGACGCTGACCGACGCTGGATCGGCGCTATCTCACCGACTCCCGGTCGCCATTCGACGACCATCGGCGCTGAAGACGGGGTTAAGAGGCTATAGACGAGGCTCCCCTGGCTTGGTGCCGAGAGAGGGGACGGCGCCACCGGGGCGACAGCCGCGCCGCCAGCACGCCAGCTCTGCCACCTCGCGGCGCTCCGTGCCCAGCCGTGCCCGCCGCCAGAGCCCGTGCCCTGCGCCCCACGCCGCGCGCAAGCCACGGCCACAGCCCCTCGGATCCACACACACCCCCTGAGAACGACTTTGAAGGGGCCCCAGGACACACACAAATACATACACACAAATAAAAAGATTCTTCATATTTCCCCATATTTTCTGGGTGCTTGTCTTCCCCCACACTTCCCATATTTTCCCACATTTTCTGAGGAATCGACGATTCACTGTGTCTGTGTGTTTTTTCCCCTCCTGAGACTTGGAGTGCCGTCTGGGCGACACGCCTCGGCCCATCGCAGCGCGGCCGACGCGAGGACGGCCCAAGGGGGGGGGGGGGCGGGAGTCGGCCGGTGGCAGGCGAGGTCATCCTCCTCCTCCTCCTCCTCCTCCTCCTCCTCCTCCTCCTCCTCTTCCTCCTCCTCCTCCTCTTCCTCCTCCTCCTCCTCCTCCTCCTCCTCCTCCTCCTCCTCCTCCTCCGCCATGTATCCCCGTCTGGAGGTCACCCTGCTGCGTGCTGTCGCGCCGACGGAGTGGCTTCGGACGGTCCCGGGGGCCCCGCACGGGCGCCACGAGCCCGAGAACGGCGGCAGAGACCTCAGGGCCCATCTCCTGGGGAAACCAAGAGGCACCGATACCGCTGCTCCCTGGGCCTCTCCTGGGGTGCGTTCTGACCGAAATTTCGAAGCAAATCCAGCGGTGGCGACGAGGGCCATCCGAGGAGGCCCAGAAAGGCGGAAAAACGGGGCGAGGCTAGCGGCGCATGGGTACCCTGCTCCTCCTCTGATCTCCTCTACTGCGAAGGGGAGATACCCCTTAGGCCCTGCCCGCGAGGCGACGGTCCCAGCCCACACCCGCAGCACAGTGAGTGGCCCTGCGGAGCGATGGAGAAGGGATCACGACCTCTACTCGTGAGGGGCGTCACGACTGCTGCCGTCCCTCGACTCGCGCTGGAGCGGCCACGAGGTGCTCAAAAAATCCGTGGAGTGCTCTGGCTGTGCCTGGATTTGCCTGGATTTACCTTTATATATACACTGCCTTGATTTATCCTCCTTCCCCTTCCTTCTTCTCGGTCTCTCCATTTTCTGACACAAACGGCTGTCTTGTCAAATGCGTTTGAAAAGTCTCGGCGCGTTCACAGGTTGGAAGATGCGCGATGTGTTGCGCTGATTTCTGCGGCCGAATCTCTGCTCGGCACGGTAAAAAAAAAATCAGCTTGATCCCAGCAAGTCGATTAGCGAGAAGTCGCCAAGCCCTCACAGGGATCTTCCCCGTCGTTTTGTCGACGGCCCCAGGGCGGGAAAGCGCCTTCCAGAGGCCGCAAGCATCGAAAAAAACACTGTCGCTCGGACGTCCATTTTCCGTGCATTTGCCAGCCTCGTGCGCTCATGTTCCAAGATGCTCCTCGATGGTCCCCGCCGAAGAAAAAAAGCACACGTCCGAGCGAAGGAGGGATCTGAGGCCACTTCGCGCTGGGGCGCTACCAGACCCGTCGCGTCGAGCTGTGCGCGCTCGCCGCACGCCGCCGCGGTTGCCGGCCGTCGACGATGCCATTGAACCCGCTGCCGCACCAAGCCACGCAGAGTCGTCATCGATCCTCTTAGTCCCCCCCTCCTCCCCGCAGTGGGCAAACCGTGCACCACCACCATCCCCCTCCAACGTCCTCCCCCGCTTCCCGCTCCTCCACCTTCATCCTCCTCCTCCTCCTCCGCCTCCTCCTCCTCCTCCTATTCCTCCTCCTCTTCCTCCTCCTCCTCTTCCTCCTCCTCCTCCTTCTCTTCCTCCTGCTCCTCCTTCTCATCCTCCTCCGTTCTCCTCTTCCTCCTCCTCCTCCGCCTCCTCCTCCTCCTCCACCCTGCTCCTTCTCCTCCTCTCCTCATCATCATCATCCTCCTCTGCTGCTGCTGCTGATGCTCCTCCTACTCCTCCTCATCCTCCTCCTCATCCTCCTCCTCTCACCCTCCCCCCCTCCTCCCCTCCTCCTCCTCCTCCTCCTCCTCCTCCTTCCTCCTCTCTCCGCCTCCTCCTACATAAAACACCCTCCTCTTCCTCCTCCCCCTCCTCCTTCCTCCTCCTCCTCTCCACACCAACCACCCCACACACCACCCTCCTCTCCTCCCCTCCTCCTCCTCTCCTCCTCCTCCTCGTCCTCCTCCTCCTCCTCCCCTCCTACTCCCTCCTGCCTCCTCCTCCTCGTCACCACCACCACCGCCTCCTCTTTTCTCCTCCTCTCCTCCTCCTACTCCTCCTCCTCCTCCTCACCTCCTTCCTCCTCTCTCCTCCTCCTATACTCCTCCTCCTCCTGGTCTTCCATCTCCTCCTCCTCCTCCTCTCTCCTCCCTCCCTCCCTCCCTCCCTCCCTCCCTCCCCTCCCCTCCCCTCCCCTCCCACTCCCTCCCCTACCCTCCCCTCCCCCACTCCTCCCCGCCCTCCCCTCCCGCACACCCTCACCTCGCCCTCCCTCCCTGCCGTCCTGCCCCCTCCCCCCCCCCTCCCCTCCCCCCCCCCTCCTGCTTCCTGACCTCCCGCTCTCCCTGCCTGCTGCCTCCCTGCCTCCCTGCCATTCCCTCCCTCCCTCACTCCGCCCCTCCTCCACAATTACACAATATGAAAGTACTCTCCCACTTCCCCTGATGGCGTCCCGAAGATATCCGACACCCCCCCGCGTATTGCTTTTTTATACAGGATTCCCGGGAAACGGGTTTTCGCTTGTGCTTTTTTAAAAAATGCTGCTCTCGCTGAGGCGCCGGCCTCATTTCTGCTCCCGAATCGTTCCGAATCGTGCTCCCGCTGCAGCGTCGGCCTCATTTTCGGATCGGTGTTTGGCCTCCGTCGTTCAGGTTGGCGTTCTCGCCCCAGCGCGGGCCTCTTTCTCGCGCGCCCATCCGCCCGCCACCACCGGGCCGCACCACCACCACCACCCACTACGCACGCGCGCGCGGAGCCACAGGTCCGCTACGACACGCGTCCGCGGATAGAGAAAATCAGCGCCATGGTAAGGGATGGGAGGGAGGGGTAGGATGTCAGATGTTGACGCGAGCGCACCTAACTTGACCTCCTCCTCCTCCTCCTCCTCCCCTCCTCCCCTCCCTCCCCTCCCTTTCCCCCTCCCACCCTCCCTCCCAATTACACAATATGAAAGTACTCCCACTTCCCACTTCCCCTGATGGCGTCGCGAAGATTCCGACACCCCCCCGCGTATTGTTTTTTTACACAGGATTCCCGGGAAACGGGTTTTCGCCTGCGTTTTTTTCAAAATGCTGCTCTCGCTGAGGCGCCGGCCTCACTTCTGCTCCCGAATCGTTCCGAATCGTGCTCCCGCTGCAGCGTGGGCCTCATTTTCGGATCGGTGTTTGGCCTCCGTCGTTCAGGATGGCGTTCTCGCCCCAGCGCGGGCCTCTTTCTCGCGCGCCCATCCGCCCGCCACCACCGCGCCGCACCACGCGCCGCACCACCACCACCACCACCACCACCACCCACCACCACCACAACCACCACCAGCACCAGCACCACCACCACCACCACACACCCACAAACCACGCACACACGCACGCACGCACGCCACTCACCCACCACCCACTACGCACGCGCGCGCGGAGCCACGGTCCGCTACGACACGCGCCCACGGATAGAGAAAATCAGGCCATGGTAAGGGATGGGAGGGTGGGGTAGGACGTCAGATATGACGCGAGCGCACCTAGCTTGCCGCCCTCCCCTCCCTCCCCTCCCTCCCTCCCCTCCCTCCCTCCCTCTCCTCCTCCTCCTCCTCCTCCTCCTCCTCCTCATCATCTGATTTGTTTTCGTCGTCTTATTGTTCTTCGTCGCGATCTTATTAGTATGCGTCTCATTCGCATCATTAGTATTATTATAAGTATTATAATGAGTAGTAGCATTATGAGTAATACTAGTATTAGTGTACGTAGTATTACTATTTTGATCTGAATATTACGATTACTACTACGACTACTAGCACCATTGATATTATTAGTATTAGCGTTAGTGGTAGTCGTCGTCATAGTCTTCGTATCAGTAGTGTTCGTAGCGTTCGCCGCAGTATTCGTATTATTCGTAGTGTTAGTATTAGTATTAGTATTACGATTCGTTGTATTATTATCATTGTTATTATGATTAATATGATTATTATTATTAGTAGTAGTAGTAGCATTCGTGTTCGTATTCGTGTTCTTAGCATCCGTCTTCGTAGTAGTAGTGCTGTTCGCGTTAGTATTATTATTCGTAATAATATTATGATTATTCATAGCAGTCGTACTTGAATCAGTCGTAATCTGCGTATCATGATTAGTCGTATTCGTATGAGTCGTAGCCTTCGTCTTCTTGTTGGTATTCATAGTAGTGTGAGTCTTAGTATTAGTATTAGTAATAATATTAGTAGTGTTGACAGTGGTATGATTAATACGGTTAGTAGTAGTAGTAGTAATAGTAGTAGTAGTAGTAGTAGTAGTAGTGGTAGTAGCAGTGTTGTTGTTGTTCGTATGGTTCGTCTGCTTATTCGTAGTATTAGTAGTTCCTGTATTAGTAGTATTACTCGCATTAGTATTATTAGTCTTCGTATTAATCTTCGTATTATCAGTAGCCGGATTATCCTTATGCTTAGTATTAAGCACATTAATATTGTTCGTATGTGTCTGTTTATCCTTCTTCTTCTTCTTACGAATATCATTATTATGATTCCTCTCCTCCTCCTCCTCCTCCTCCTCCTCCTCCTCCTCCTCCTGCTCCTCCTCCTCCTCCCCCTCCTCCTCCTCCTCCTCCTCCTCCTCCCCCTCCTCCTCCTCCTCCTCCGCCTCCTCCGCCTCCTCCGCCTCATCCTCTCCTCCTCTCCCTCCTCCTCCTCCTCCCCTCCTCCACCTCCTGCCCCCCCCCCTCCTCCTCCTCCTCCTCCTCCTCCCGCCGCCGCCGCATCTTCCTCATCCTCCTCCTTCTCATCCTCCTCCTTTCTCCTCCCTCCTCCTCCTCCTCCCCCTCCTCCTCCTCCTCCTCCTCCTCCTCCTCGCCACCCAGTCGGTCTGGATGACCCTGATGAGAATCGGATGGCCCATGGTGTCGCCCACTGTTTTGAAGACTGACCAAGGGGCCCTTATTGACCTGTTGCGTCGTTGCCCCTAGGATGTGCGTCGCCTCCTCGAGGATGGCATCCGCCAGTTTCAGTCGAGCCGCATCCTCATGCACTTGCCTGGTGGGAGTCAGGAGTCCTGCTGGCGCCTTGCGGGTAGCTCTTTTCAACTTCAAGGATGTCAGCAGGCAAGGCGAGTTGCGAGCACTGTGGGCTGCAGGTGTGTGGACGCCTGCTCGTTAGTTGTGTGGACGCCTGCTCGTTCGCAGTCGATTGACCTACGGCCCACGCCTGATTGTTGCATGTGCAAAAAATGGACAGGCACGGAGGCCCACCAATGGTCTCGGTGCCCCGAGGCTCCTAATGGTCCCGATGAAGAGAGGCCCCCTGATGAGATCCTGGAACATCGTGACGCCATCGGTTCTGGGCCCCAAGGCCTGGAAACTGTTTATCTTAGCTATGGGGCGTCCGCCCGAGCCGCCACTTCCCGATGCTCCCTGTGCTGAGTGCCCTGCCTTGGGACGGGGGGCTGGCGGGGAGTTTGGAGGCGGAGGGTGTACACGGACGGTTCTGGCTTCGTATCGTCGACGCCAGGACTCACTCGCTGTGGCTGGTCAGTCATTGAACTCAACGAATCAGGCATAATCCTTAGAGCAGTTTTTGGAGCGCTCATAGGGCCCATCCAGACGGTACCGCGTGCAGAGTATCACGCGGCGCGGATGGCTGCGCAGTTTGCAGGCAGTGATATTGGCATCATCTCAGATCATGTATCGCTTGTCAAGACTGGCCGCACTTGGGGGCCCCACCATGAAAATGCCAAGTCTTGTCACGCGTCAGTCTGGAGAGCGCTGCATAGCAGATGCCAGGACGATGTCCCGAGGTTTGCTTGGGTCCCAGCACACAGATCTGCAGAAGACGTGCTGGATGAGCCAACGGCCTCGTATTTGGATGTCATAGGCAACGAATGGGCAGACCACTGTGCGAAGAGAGGTGCACGCACGCATATGCTAGCCCAGACTCTTGAGACATTTCACAAGGTGAGTCTTGCTGAGTTCGTCAAAAACGCTCGAGATTTTTCTTGGATGACCAGGACGGTGGCCAGAAGGGTTGATGCGCTCCAGCCGCGGGTTGACCTGCCCGAGCCTCGCAGAGCTCCCCCTCCAATGGCCCGAACAGTCCTGGGAAATCACGATTTCGGGGTATGCGACCGACCGTCGGAGTATGGGTGTCGATCATGCAGCCGTTGGGCTCGCACTCCCGTCCTCCCCCCGTGCTATCAGACGGCAGCCCTGCCAGCCGTCAGAGTTGTGCCGTGCGGCGCGGCCGCGCCGCGGGCGGACGCGGCGGTCCTCCACGGCGGAGTTGGCGGCCAGCACCCGCTCGGCGAGGTCCTGCTCGTCCAGGCCGTACGCGGCCGCCGCCAGGCTTTTCGGCTCACGCCAGAGGTCTATCGCCACCCGACAGGTGCAGTGGCCGCGGCGCTCCGTGCCGCTCGTGACCTCGAGCCTGCTGGTGCTGCAGGCCTCGAGGACGGGCCCGTGGACGGGGAGGGCGGGGGGGTCGTCGCCGTCGAGGAGGACGTCGGGGGGGGATTCGGTCGACCAGGCACTCACCGAGCCGGGCCATCGTGCTGAGAGGTTCGGAGCTCATGCGATCTGCCTGCCGTGTGGAGCCTACTCTAGTTCACAGGGCCGCAATCTTCAGCTCGAAGCTCGGTGTGTAGGCCCGTCGCCTGTCGCGCTGGCTCGGTCGAACCAGGAGCAAGCCATCTCGCGTTTGATGAGACGGCTGCATCCTCGTATTGGTAAGATGTTTCCTGTGTGATCTTCTTCGTACGCTCTGGGGCCTCCGCCCTCGTCGTGTGATGAGCTTGGATGGGGGTGCGAGAGTGTGCAAGAGCTGTGCTCGGCAGCCATCCTTGTCGGCTGCTTCACAGCTATCTCTTTCCATCACTGGGGCGCGCTCGATCTGATCGGCCGCGCCTTCCATAGCTCGGGATCTCGAACTCCCCCTCCTCCTCTGCCTCTTCCTCTTCCGCATTCTCCTCCGCCTCCTCGTCCTCCTCCTCCTCCTCCTCGTCCTCCTCCTCCTCCTCCTCATACTCCTCCTCCTCCTCCTCCTCCTCCACCTCCTCCTCCTCCTCCTCCTCATCCTCCTCCGCCTCGGCCTCCGCCTCCTCCTCCTCCTCCTCCTCCTCCTCCTCCTCCCCTCCTCCTCCTCCTCCCCCCTCCTCCTCCCCACTCCTCCTCCTCCTCCGCCTCCTCCTCCTCCTCCTCCTCCTCCTCCTCCTCCTCCTCCTCGCCCTCTCCTCCTCTCCTCCTCCTCCTCCTCTCCTCCTCCTCCTCCTCCTCCTCCTCCTCCTCCTCCTCCTCTCCTCTCCTCCTCCTCCCTTCCTCCTCCTCCTCCTCCTCCTCTCCTCCTCCTCCTCCTCCTCTCCTCCTCCTCCTCCCTCCTCCTCCGCCGCCTCCTCCGCCTCCGCCTTCCGCCTCCGCCTCCCCCTCCTCCTCCTCCTCCTCTCTCCTCCTCCTCCTCCTCCTCCTCCTCCTCCTCTCCTCCTCCTCCGCCTCCGCCTCCGCCTCCGCCTCCGCCTCCGCCTCCGCCTCCGCTCCGCCTCCGCCTCCGCCTCCGCCTCCCCTCCGCCTCCGCCCCGCCTCCGCCTCCGCCTCCGCCTCCGCCTCCCCTCCCCCTCCCCCCCCCCCCCCCATCCCCCATCGCCTCCGCCTCCGCCTCCGCCTCCTCCTCCTCCTCCTCCTCCTCCTCCTCCTCCTCCTCCTCCTCCTCCTCCTCTCCTCCTGCTCCTGCTCCGCTTGCTCCTCGTGGTGCCGTCCGCAGCGTTCCTCCAACCCTTGTGGCGCGCGCACGCGCGACGCCTCGTTGCGTCCCCCTGCGGGGGCGGCGGCACGGTGGACAGGGTCTGGGCCCGGGCGCGCGCGGCCATTGTTCGTCGTCGTCGCCGTCGTGGCCGTCTTGGCCGCTGGGCCGTCTTGGCTGTTGGGCCGTTGTCGCGGCTGTCGTCAACGTCGGTTTGGTCGTCGTCGTCGTCGTCGTCGTCGTCGTCGTCGTCGTCGTCGTCGTCGTCGTCGTCGTCGTCGTCGTCGTCGTCGTCGTCGTTGTCCTCCCCTGCCGCGGGGGGGAAAGGCGATGAGGAACGGAGGCAGGGAGGAAGGCAGGGAGGGAGGGAGAGAGGGGGATGAGGGAGGAGGGTGAAGGATAAGGGAGACGGGAAGAGGAGACGGAGGAGGGAACCTGCAAGAGGGAGGGGGAGGCAGGAGGGAGGAGAGCTATGGGACGATTTGAAGGTTCCAGGATGATCCCATGGAAGGGGGTCTGGAAAGACGAGGGGGCAGCAGTAGGAGAGAGAACGGGGGGAGAAAGGCAGGCCCAAGGGCAAGGACAACCAGGCCGTTATTACCGCATGTTCGACCCATGGCGACGCCGCATGACTCCACGAAGGAATGTCCAGCACTGTGATGATCTGGGCGTGGGCCCACTGGATAGGGGGCGACAGTTCACTGCTTGTGGCTCCCTTGCTTCTGCTCAGTTCCCCTCCATGTTGTCCTCCCCCTCACCCTCGCCCTTCTCCTCCTCCTCCTCCTCCTCCTCCTCCTCCTCCTCCTCCTCCTCCTCCTCCTCCTCCTCCTCCCCCTCCTCCTCCTCCTCCCCATCCTCCTCCTCCCCTCCTCCTCCTCCTCCTCCTCCTCCTCCTCCTCCTCCTCCGCCTCCGCCTCCGCCTCCGCCTCCGCCTCCCCTCCGCCTCCGCCTCCTCCCTCCTCCTCCTCCTCCTCCTCCTCCTCCCTCCCCTCCTCCCTCCCTCCCTCCCTCCCTCCCTCCCCCTCCCTCCCTCCCTCCCTCCCTCCCTCCCTCCCTCCCTCCCTCCCTCCCCTCCCTCCCCCCCCTCCTCCCTCCTCCTCCTCCCTCCTCCCTCCTCCGTCCCCGACCCCCCCTCTGCGCCCACCTCCTCACCCCATCCCCTCAAGTGAGGGGGCCCACAAACACACAAATCCGCCGGCCCCCTTGTGGGGCCACCAGGCTGCAGGGTTGGGTGGCTGCACCCTGCGCCAGTTGAAGTCTCCAATGTCACAGACCTGCTTTCTGCTTCCTAGTGTAAATTGTTGAACTCCGCGCGAGGGGGGGAGCCGAAAACCACCCTGGCTACACTCCCCCAGGAGGGTTCTCAGAATTTCCTGGGGGTCGTGGGACACGTAAAAACAAAAGAGGTCTGCACATCCGAAGCCAAAAACCCTTGCAAATTGCACCATCCTCGCGCTGCCAAGGCCGCAATCCCTTGCAAATTGCGCGATATTCGCGCTGCCGAAACCACACTCCCTTACAAATTGCGCCATGCTTGCGCTGCCGAGGCCACATTCCCTCGCGAACTGCGGTGGATTCGTACTGCCGAGGCCACAATCCCTTCCAAATTGCACCGTAGTGGCGCTGCCGAAGCCGCAATCCATTGCAAATGGCACCATGTTCGCGCTGCCGAGGCCACAATCCCTTGCAAATTGCACCGTAGTGGCGCTGCCGAGGCCACAATCCCATGCAAATTGCTCCATACTCGCGCTGCCGAGGCTACAATCCCTTGCAATTTGCACAATGTTCACGCTGCCGAGGCCACAATCCGTTTTAAATTCCACACAGATTTGCGATGCCGAGGCCACAATCCCTCGCAAATTGCGCTATACGCGCGCTGCCGAGGCGAAAATCCCTAGCAAATTGCACCGTACTCGCGCTGCCGAGGCAACAATCCCTCGCAAATTGCGGTAGATTAGCGCTGCCGAGGCCACAAAACCTTTCAACAAATTGCACAATGTTCGCGCTGCCGAGGCCAAAATCCCTCGCAACGTGCACCCTATGCGCGATGCCGAGGCTACAGTCCCCCGCGCGCTGCCGAGGCCACAATCCCATGCAAACTGCGCCATACTCGCGCTGCCGAGGCTACAATCCCTTGCACATTGCACCATATTCGCGCTGCCGAGGCCACCATTCTTTGCAAGTTGCGCCATATTCCCGCTGCTGAGGCCACAGCACTCGTGTTTCATATTCGCGCTCTCGAGGTCACAATCCTTTTTTCCCCAATCAGAGCTTGCCTCTGTAGGGGTCCTAGCGGATTCATATGGTTAGGCTAGGTTTGCCGCCGATTTTCGCCGCACGCCCGGGTGCCCGGGTGCCCGGGGGTGCCCGGGTGCCCGGGGATGCCCGGGTTCTCGGGTGCCCAGGGGTGCCCGGAGGTGCCCAGGGGTGCCCGGAGGTGCCCCGGAGTGCCCGGGTGCCCCGGGGTGCCCGGGTGCTCTATCGCCCTATAGCCCTATAGCTCTTATAAATGTGCAGCATATTCGCGTCTCCGAGGCCACGATCGCTTGTAAATTACACCATGTTTGCGTCCCCGAAACCACAATCCCTTGTAACATACGCCGAGGAACCCCAAAACCGTCCAAGCCGCGCGATTCTGCCCGACGTAGCCTCAGGCAGCCCACAGTCGTTCCAAGTAGGCAGCCGATAAACAGCATGAGGGTAAAGTTCGCAAAAGGCAGCACAGAGTTCAACGCTATCATCTGAATATCAATTTGTCTTGAAGATTACCAGTAGTCCTCGCACGAGGCGTCGATACTGCTTCACGACGGCGCCCAGGCATCCCAACATGGCTCCTGCACATTCCATTATGATGGAGAGGAGGCCGGCAGCAGAGGGCGAAGCCCTTACGGAAAAAAGGCACAAACCCCAGGATTCCCAATAGTTGTCCACAAATTCTGGGTGCTCGTCTGCCCCCCCATGCCCGTAGTTTTGGTATTTTCCAGAGGCACCACACCCTCCGCGACCGCGCGCGCACGGGCGAGACTTCTTCGCTCGCAGGAGGGCGGAAGCGGACCGCCGACGTCCACGCGTGCTTGGCTGCACGGCTGCACCCCCTGCTCCTTCTCGGGGGGGTGGCAATGGGAGGTGGGGGGAGAGTAGGAAGAGAAGGAGGAGGAGGAGGAGGAGAAAGAGGAAAGGAAGAGGAAGGGCAGGGAAGGGCAAGGAAGGGCGGGTCAGAGAAGGGAGGGGAGGAGGAAGGGGAGGGGGAGGAGAAGAAGGAAGAGGAGGAGGAGGAGGAGGGAGACGAACACGCAGCAGGGGCCCTGGAGGGCCCCCTTTGGGGCCCCTTCGCCCCCCATGTATGGGCACCCCCCCGTGACCACCCAGCCGACCTCCTCCCCTGCACGTGGCAGCAAGGGGCGGCGCGCGCCGGCAGCGGGGGCAGCGTCGGCGGCAGCCCCGGCGCCATGGGGAAGCCAGGGCCTCGGGGAGGCGCGCGCGGGGAGCAGGTGCCACTCGGAGGGAAAATCAGGAAGGGTGGAGAGGAGGAAAGAGGAGGAGGAGGAGGAGGAGGAGGACGACGAGGGAGGAGGCGGAGGAGGTGCAAGGAAAAAACAAGGCAAACCAGAAAGGGCCCTGTGAACGAAAGAGTCCTTTGAGCGTACCTGTGGACGCACTTTTGGGCGCGTAGCAACTGGGCTCGCCGACGCGGCCGCGCGGGGACGCCAGCGCCCAGCGATTCCGAAGGCCCCGACCGGCGGCCCCAGGTCGTACTTATGAGTTCCTCCCCCTTCGCTCAAAAGTACACTTGCCTGATCGTACTTGTGACGCATGCGCTCGAAAGTACGATTCGCCAGAGACTTCACCAAACTATACTTTTGAGGTGACCCCCTCGAATCCCGCGCCGTACTTTTGAGCACCCCCTCCCCTCCCCCGCGACGGGGGGGAGGCTTCGGCAGGAGGGGGGGGCGGGAACCCCGGGGAAACGCGCGCAT